CTCTCCCCCCACCTCTGATCTTGCGACAGCGTGCTCCCACCTCTCTCTCTCTCTCGTGTTGGTTCTTGCTCCACCGCTAGGACGTTTTCGATCGGGCCGTTCGGAACACTCGAAAAACTCTGCTCCCGCTGCAGCGCTGGCCGCACCTCAGGGCCGGTGCCGTGCTCCCGACGCTGGGAACGGCGCTCCCGCCCCAGCGTGGGCCACATCTCTGAATCCGATTCACTCCTCGTCGTTGCCGCCCCCCCTTTTCCCCCTCCTCCACCCTCCGCCGATCCCCCGTTCTCCTCCGCTGCTCCTGCTGCTCTTCTCCCTCCGCCTTCCCGATCCTGCCCCTCCTCCTCCGCCACCTCCCCCTCCGCCTCCTGCTGCTCCTTCTTCTATCCACAGAAGCACCCTTGTTTCCGAGTAGGCAGCAGCTGATGGCTCAAATCCTGCAACTGCCATTTGGGCGTCAAAGTTCTGTAGGACACTCGAGGCGGCTGACAGAAAAGAATTCAACGCAATGGGAAGGAATGGGTGGGCGGGGTATGATGTCAGGTGTGGTGAGAGCGCGCCCAGCTTGCTCGCCTCTTGTCTCCTCCCTCCTCCTCCCTGCTGCCCGCCCAGAAGAAGAGAACGACGACGCCGACGCCGACGCCGACGCCACCGACGTCGACGCCAAGGCCGACAACGACGACCACGATGACGACGCCCGAAAGAAACAACGACGCCGACGTCGACGCCGACGACGAGGCTCCTCAGCGTGATGTCGTTCGGCTCCAGGCCTCGCTGCACCACCATCTCCTGGCGGCCGGCGGCCGGCGGCTGAACAAGCGCCACGCGGCGGCGGCACAAAGACGACCTCGGAAGGCCTCTCGGGCGGTGGCGGCGTTGGGCCGCGCTCCTGTCCCTCCTCCCTCGAGGCTCGAGGAGGATCGAGGCTGAAGAAGAGGCTCGAGGAGGCTCGGGGCTCGATCCCCCGCCCGAGGAGGCTCGAAGCTCGAGGAGGATCCGAGACCGCGGCGCCCGCCCGCCCGCGCCGGCCCGGCGCCCGGCCGCAGAGGCCGCCGGCGGGGCGGCGCTGGGCGGCTGGCGAGCGGGCGGGCGGGCGCCGCCACTGGCCGGCGTCGGGCGGCGGCGGCGCGGCACGGGGCTTCGGCAGCCTGCAGGGCGCCTCGGCAGCGCCAGGGAGGGGCTCGTGAGCGCTTCGTTCCTCCTCCCCCGGACGACTCGGGACCCATGGCACCCACAAAGTACAGCATGAGGATGCATGCCAACACCGATCCTGGCCAGGCCCATGCGCGGCCCAGGATCTGGGGCTCGCAGAGGCGTAACGGTCGTTACCCGGGCCAAGCCCCTCCCCCCACCCCCCCATCCCCCTGGGGCTAACGCTAACGATCGTACTGGAAGGGAGGGGCTGGACCCCCCCCTCCATACCGTGGTGCGCACAGGCGATTGATGCGCTGGCGGCGCGGACGCACCTGGTGGGTGCACGCCGCGGCCGCCGTTACCATTACCCTCCCGCCCGAGCCGCCCCCCCCCACCCCCAGCCCAAACTGGGGCGGCCAAGAGTGGGGCGTCCAAGAGGGGGGAGTGGGGGCGCAAACCATGGCCGGCGGCATGTGCGCGGCCCAGGAGCGGGCCAGGGACGTATGGAGATAAGACGAGGCGCCATGAAATCTGGGGAGATATCATGGGCCCCGCCATGATATCCCAAACCTTGTCATCCCCCCCCTCTTGGCTGCCCCCACCAAGGGTAACGACCGTTGCCCGGGAAAGGAAAAATTCGCCGGCCCAACGGGCCAGAGGCGTGCTAAGATCTCCGGTAACTGGTTCACGATTCTTCTAGTTCGGGCGCGCGGGGCGGCCCCTGGGGGTCCCCCAGCGAAAAGTACCCCGACCGCAGCCCGGGAAGGTCCCGGGAAGGTCTACTCAGAGATGGTTTTCCTCCTGGGTACGGCCTCTCAGGCCCCCCAGAGCGCGCCAAGAGGGCCCCAAGAGGCCCCCAAGACTGCTCAAGAGGCCCCCGAGACGCCCAAAGGACGCTCCAAGACGCCGAAGATGATCCCAAGACGGCCCAAGAAGCCGCCAAGACGCTCCAAGTGGCCTCCAAGAGGCCTCACAAGAGCGCCCCGAGAGGCCAAAATCATAAATTTCACGCTGGTTTTGGAAGGATTTTGGCCTTGTCGCATTTTCGGTTTTCCGGTGCTCCAAGACGGCCCAAGAGGCCCCCAAGAGCGCACGAAGACGGCTCAAGAGGCCCCCAAGAAGGCCCCCAGAGAGCCCAAACGGGCCCCGAGACGGCCCAAGAGACGCCCAAGACGGCCCAAGAGAGCCCCAAGACGGCCCTAAGAGGGGCCCAAGATGGGGACCACGAACCGAAACCTCAAGCCTTCCGCCCCAAGAGGGCCCCAGGAGGCCCCGAGAGGCCCCCAAGATGGCCCAAGATGCCGCCAAGAGGCCCCCAAGAGACCCCAGGAGGCTCCAAGGAGGCTCTAAAGAGGCCCTACAAGGCTTC